ATGTCAGTGGTGTTCCTGCTGTCAGTTTCTTTCCAGATTGTCTGACTGAGCGGTTGGAGGTGTGGGTACCTCTGTATGCTTGACATAGGCCATATATATATATATATATATATATATATATAACTAGACGAACCTTATGGTTGCACGGCAGTGAAGCTCAGTGTCAACAATGATATTGTTCTCTTTGATGATGATGATGCGCACTTCAGCCTACTCCTTGGTTACGGGGAATTCTAGTACGGGAAAACGGGAACTGATTTTTCGAGGTTCTATATTCGATCCATACAAAAGCTGTTGGAATACTTGTACAAGCGCTGTTAGCTGATGAGTTAGAGGTCTCCCACAGTGTACTGCTGAAGTGACGGAAACCATTTAAACGAATTCGAGATTGTTAGATCAGTACGCACCACTTTTTGGCCTGACCAATGTTCAAAAATCCGGCTCTTCCCACAACTCAACAGATAACAAAAAGGTTCGTTGTTTGAAAGCTATCTTGGGGACATACAGACCAATATTGGGTTGAACGGGAGTATTCCGATGTCACAAAGGATGCTTAACGCTGAACTTTTACTATAGTACTCTATAGAATCACTGGTATTCCGCTGGTGTGTTAGAAACTAAAATGTGAGACTAAAAGGATGCGATTACGGGGGGATCCGGCTTGGTAATGAAACTTAAGCAACGGTTCTATATTCCTGTTTGGCTGTCTTTGAAAGCAACAACTTCAACTCTCCCTAGGATCTTAATGGTGCACTATTAATTCCCTTGCTGTAATCGTTCTTATTTCAGGAGCAAGGCGATTATGGTGTCACACACCAGGAAGGGACAGTGCACTTTGATCCACGTTTTAGCCTGAACCATCAAACACTGGAAGCATCTACCCCAAATGTGTACATCGGGGGAAGAATCGATGCGATTGCCGGGTTATCTGCCATCTGTGGAACGGACGCTAGTCAGCACACATCAGAACAGCTCTTGGAAACACACCTGGAGGAATTGGGTAATCCCAGCTTGCTGGACAGGCCTGCGGCACCTGAACACATCAGTAAAGTAGGTGAGGACAACTGTTCGGGGGCAGACGAGGAGGAAGTTCAAACAGCTACTCAGGCTCTTCTACATGCTGCTAACGAATATCCCACAGAGAGTCTGGCGATGGCGGCACAGCTAGAACTTGTCGGTTCGGCTGACATCAGTCTTAACGCTTCTGGATTTTCACAAAACCCAATGAAACAGTCTAATGCGAACGTTTATCAAAGCCCGAATGGATCGGATAATTTCGGAACACTCGGAGATGGTTTCCCAGATTTACATTCTTATCAAGTAGATAGTGGCAGTCAGCTGCTTTTAAAACCAGAGGTTGCATTCTGTGATCTCTGATGATATTCTGTAACTCTTGAATAAGGAACAGTGTGTTGTTTTAATTTGAATAACCCTGAGGGGTGTTTTATCGGCGACAATCCGGAAACCCCTCCTGTTCCATTCTTGTCAACGTTCTACCCAGTGACTTCAAGCGCCCTAAGATTGTTCGGTCAATGCATGAGTACTTCCAGTCCTTTTTAACCCCAATCAAAATGAGTAGGATTTTACTTCATTGATCAATTTTGTTATTCTTGTTTGTTTCATTTATTTTTATACCTGTTATGATAAACCAAAAAAAAATGAATTGGTCAATGGTTGTTTTATTGGCTGCCCGCTGCCATGGTGAGTATTGATGTAATTCACTTGTATCCAGTTTGCATTCCTGAAATTTCCTGTTGACGATTCGGAGCTTCTAACACACCGGCAGTATTTACAGAATTAACTTTCACTTCCGAACTTAGTATATTAAGAGAATGCCTGAATTGTTGGGACGAGTACTCTTAACAACAGTTTTGTAATTGCCACCTACTATATCTCAGTCGGATTTTCGACAGGCGACAAGGAACCGGACGGTGACCATGTAGCTTTGGGCATCTTTCGGAATACACAAACATCTTTTCTCCCTCAGGCGCCAACAAGCCGCTAGTTCTGGTGACCTCTCACTCACCTTTAAGGATCGTGGTAAACTATCCATTCAGATGAAGGGCAATTTATTTTCCTCTCTCTGAGTATAAGAGTCCGTCCCAACCATTGGGAGTAGTGAAAGTGTATAGTTTCAAATAGCTCTCCACAGTGAGAGTGACAGTCACAAAGGAATTATCTTTACCCCTGCTGTTACCATAATCCTTACGTCCTTTATTTTACGTTGTCTTACGAAGACGGGACCCGAGAACAGCAGACAGGATTCTGTTAACAGCACGCATATATGCGTCCAACAATCTTGGTGTTCCTTGACTTAAGTAGTGCGTTCGATTTGTTCCATTGTTTTTTTTTCCAACACACTTGCACAACAAGTTATGCCCCAGAATTTCGTCTTTATCGTATGCTGTTTATGTTCACATGCTTTTGGGAATGTTTGGAACGCTCTACAAAAGCTTTTCTGCAAGCAGTGGTACTGGAAAGGGATATCCATTGTCTTATTTTTGTTTAGTTTCGTTGCTGAATTAGTAATGAGGCGTGCTCCTTAGGTCTTCAAAACCCCAGTATGTGAATCTCTCCGAGTAAGTATTTTGTTAATTTGGATATGTGCAGACGACGCCCTTCTAATTTTTTAAAAGAACGCAAAGCGCGTATCTTGCTAAAAAAGCCGACCAAAGTCATCTAGCCGCTTGATATGAGCTTGACATCTGCAAACTGCGAAGTCATGCTGAAGCCATACAATCTTCGAACATACTGCTGAGAATTAAATGATTGACAATGGAAGTTGTGAAACCCTATAGGTACGTCGAAGGTCAGGTCGGCGTTCATGAAAGTTTGACAGACAAATTCAACGCACGGATCTCCATGGTTAGATCCACAATCGCGTCACTCAGCATTAAAAAGACACCACACCGTGTATCAGACTGTCGGTGATCTGATCAGTGAGTTTGCACTGTGACGATAAGGAAAGTGTTCTTAATGAAGCAACAGGTGCGTTCTTTAAGGGATAAATTCAAGATTTCAAGCTTAGATGGCTGAATCATATGCTACATATGCCAAGCCACTGTCTATCGAGAACAGCTTTTACCGTTGCCTACTTTGGAGAGGTGGAGACCTAATGGATGACAGAATATTACCTGGTAATAAGGAATGAGAGATAATACAAAATGTTTGGGTTCCGTTGTTTCCGTCCACTTTCCACATGTCACCCCTGTGCCTGGTTAGAAACAGTAAGATTTACGATGGTGGTGGTGTTCATGCTAACAGTTTCTATCCATGTTGACTGACCAGGTTTTGGTCGTAGGCCTTCCTTCTATGTTGTATTCTCTCTTCCTTCCAATATAAAGCCTTTAATAAATAAGATGCTCGACGGTCAGTTAAAAACACTAGTTTTCCTTTATTGAGCAGGGCAATGTGATTGCAACTGTTTCATCCCCAATCGAGCTGACATCATCAATGCGTTGTTAGGGAGTCTGGTGGTGTGTAGAGATAGGTGCGTGATTGTGGAGTGCACTGATGATGTCACCCGGATCGATGAAACGTTTGCAATCAAATTGCCCAGCTCAGCGAACAAACCAACGACCTTCTATGCTACCTGGGCTACCAGCAATCTCCTCTAAAGCGAACCAGTTTTCCTTGTTGTTGATTTCACCATGGGCCTACATACAGGTTGGTGTTTCATGCTGTTAGAAACTACTGGAATGATTACAATTCAGTTACACAATAATGTCATTACAACTTTTTCATGCCAGACCACACGTGCATTTAAGTGGCAGCTGGTCATGCTTGAGAGGGAAACACCGAATATATTTTCATTCTAACCATTGCACTTCTTTGTTACAACAAACGAATCCGTCTACGGCTGCTTGATAATATGCTGTAACTACAAGCATGCAAGGTTGGACTCCAATGAGAAAATCGCAAGGAAGTTCCATATACTTAATCACGTTCTGATTTTGACTCGGCGTTGTCTGACTGGCTTTGTGTTATTGGCTGGCATTGCTCCTGTGGCCTGCCGGAAATGTCTGGAGCTGTCGATAGTCTTTTGTTTGGCCGCTTGAGGGTCCACTCTGCAGCTGACTTATCTGGCTCGGGTCAATTCGGATCAATTCTAGCGGAGTTGGTGGTTCTCAGTATGGATCGGTAATTCCTGGATTGTGTTAAGGAATATCACATCCCTACTAGGATGTTACACCAAACCTGAATACTGAAACCTATGGAGCCATCAGCCTACCTTGCATACGGATCGTCCAGTGATACAGGTGAAGACTCGCCTTAGATCAAGAAAACTACACCACCAGAATGGCAGCTAATGTGACAAAATTTCAGGAAGGGTGCGCAAGAAATTATCGAAACCAAATCTGATGAGGATATCGGAGTGTAATGAAAACATGCGGGACCAGGACAAAGAAATCAGCAAGATCGGATTAGATTAGAGAAAAGTTGGGGTTTTGGTCTCTTCCCCAAATTCAACAGTTGAAGTGCAAACGTTTTGTCACCAGTCGAGGTGATTTCGTCCACAGCGTTTAAACTCTTTCAGCTTTTGGGAACTCACTTCGGTGATGAACTATTAAGTACTGTATCACTTAGTCATCAGGAAGTTTTTCGTACTGTATCGAGTTACTCATACATTAAATGTCTTCGCAACAGTGCAAAAGAATCAATAAAAAATGGATTGTTTTTCGGTTGTAGAAGTTAGCTTGGTACTGCAAATGCAACTAAGATGCAGGTGGTTCCACTTGAATATGGACATTTTAGGGAGAAAAATGATGGTAACCCGCTTTCTCGCAATCATGAAATGCAGATTTCCGCCTAGTCTAAAGTAGGATTATTTCCAGTCTGACGAATGAATGCAACTTTCTGAGATAAATGACGTAAGCCCATCGGCATTTACTGTCTCTGAAACTAGCGCATGGGCTTGTTTAGGAAGGCGATGTGACACCGTTTGCACCACCGATGAGCAGAGCACAGGGCTTGCACAACCAATCAAAATCACTCTTAGAATGGGGTAGGTAGGGTATTTTATTCAAGCATTTGCCGAAAACTCAATTCCCACGCTCAGACGTATGCACCGCAGCAAGAATAGGTTGGATGTTCCTTGATGACTCATCGGTTCCCACGTTTGCGTAGACGAAATCCACCCAAGAATAATTATGTTCGGCAATGCCTGGCTGCGGTGCCTGATCCCGAAAGTGGCACTTGTTCGCTCAGAGGTGTGCGGCTCAGTGGATTCGTTGCTCACAGTAAGAATCTAGTTAACGTGTCCGAACAGCGGCATTTTTGTACCATCTATCGACAGCGAATAAGAAGCAATTGGAAATTACAGTTCTCATAACTTTACTTGTAAATCGTTGCATCTGATGAAAATGACATCACTGAGCGTTCAGAATCCAATAATCCAGCTGCGATATCCTTTCTGAATACAGTTAAATGAAAATTGGGCGAAGAGAAATCGGCTGGGCCAATTCTTCTAGCTTCGAAAGTTTGACTAAAATTATGATACACAAGAGCATCTGTGGATGACGTGTGTTCACCATCACATTCTCCGGATGACGAAAAATTTACCCAAAGGTATACGAATTCACGTAACATACACAACGCCCGATCTAATTAGGGAAATAGCTCACCAGCATTTTCGGCAACTCTGAGATTGCTTCACGTGGCAGACAGAAACGAGTCGTTTATTTTACTGTATCGAACGTCACTTGTTACTGGATGCTATAACTATTGGTAGATTCTTTGACAATACTTGGTAGGCTCAGACTATTCAGACGAACTGTCATTGTTAGCTAACGATAATGTGTTTTTACAGTCTCCCCAAGTAGAATTGCGGAGGTGATCCTTTGTTCTGATGTACGTTTTCACCTGAAAATTCCGGAGTAGTACCTCAGGATTCTCGGTCACTGTGTGTCCTTCTGAAACTTCATGGAGAGTTTATCGATCTGTTTACTTTTCTGAGCAGGTGAATGAACCTTGATAATGTTGTGGCGATGAAATTTAATGCGCTCATCATCAAGGTACCATCAAAAGGTACAAGCCTGTGTTATTTATGGCGTCAGAAACAGGCACCACTAAATTCAGAGGGCCATATTAACAATGCAACTGCAAGTACCGGTTTACTATATGACTTTGACACTTTGTATTTTAAACCGAGGGTCCTAAATGACCTCGAACCTTGGGCCATCGATTTTTTCTTAGTACAGCCGCGGCCGCGGCTTGTTCATGAGGAGATGGTTCCAAAGAGAGTACTTTGAGGTGCATCAGAATTTTCTTCCAGGAGGAGGTGGACAGGTATTATGCCTTCTGCACTGCAAACGTTTCTAAAAAACATCGTCATACCTCAATTCTCGTTCACCAGTAACCCGTGGAGTACAGGTACGAGTTGGTCAGGTGGAATTAAGGCATACTGTCAAACTGACAACTGTAGAACATTTGGGGTCAGCATCATTCTTCCAACACGTACGCGGTTACCATACAGTTTATAGTACCTAACCGTCCTCAGCGACAGCCATACTGTAAATTCCTAATCAAAGACCATAGTTATCGTTTGTCAGTGGTTGTATTCTAGGATAATTTTGGATAAGGTTTACAAAAGACGTTGACTCGATCCCCCTGAAGATGTTCAGGTATTTTATCTCAATGATATTCTGAGTGTAAATAA